CTCTCTCTCTCTCTCTCTCTCTCTCTCTCTCTCTCTCTCTCTCTCTCCTTTTCAAGGCAAGATGCCCAGAGCTATTAAAATAGCAAGCTCCGACTGAATGGAGAAAGCAGATGTTCCATACTCAGGGTTAAAAGAGGTGAGAGGAGAGGGGAATGCCTTCAGGGATATGTAGTTCACTGTAGATCACAGACTATTAAATTGTATGCAGATATTTGCTGTTAATTCATGCCACCTAAATTAATTGTGTTCCATGTGTGTCTCGAACGAATGTGCCATATACTTGAAGCATCAATTCAGTGATTTGCGAGCTAAAGTACCTTCATTTACTCGTAGCTTAAACTCTCCTTCATGTAATCTCGCATGAGTAATCAAAGATGAAGATGGAAATCTGTGCACTGCAAAGGACAACTGAGACTTGAAACGGTACGTGGTTTGACATGATCTTAGCCATCAAAGGCTCCTCAGGTGCCTGTGTGCGTGTTAATGTTGGTGTGTGTGCGTGTGAGTCTCTGTGTGCAGACATGTATGTGTATACGTGAGTGTTCGCACACACACACTTCTTTCTACACATCCACTCTCCGGCTCTTCACGGCTTATTCTGAGATATTTCTTTGACTCGACCAATTTCCCCAATTGCTTTCACATTTAAGCAGACTACTGACAGAAGCGAGCCAATGGGAAAGGTTCGCTCTGACATTCTGATAGGAAGCAGCCCAGACACAAGCCGTAGGACTGCAGCAGAGGTAATCGCTCACTCCTTCCCCTCTCAGACAATACACTTCTCCTCCTCCTCCTCCTCCTCCTCCTCTCGCCATTCTCCCTTTCTCCTCTCTCCTTTTTTTTTTTTTGCTCCTTTCAGTGCGCTCCTCTGCCTTTTGTTTTAAATCCAGTCCAATCATGAGCCGCGTTACGCATAAGGTTTTAATTTCAAGCCTACCGCCGGAGTCTGCCAGACTGACACGCACACATGCACAAATTCACACAAGAACGCATGTGCACACACCGAAACCGCAGATTCTTGTGCAAAGCATATACACACACTGGCTTCAGTCTCACGTCGCAAAAGCACACTCGCACACTTGTGTGCTACGTGGCTACATGCATATTTAATGCATTGTGATCTGTGGCTACATTTCATCATTTAAACATGTTTCCCATGAGAGAAAGCAAGTCCATCCAGAAACATTAACAATCACACAGATTCATAAAAGGCTGACGAGTCATCAGACAAATTACATAAAAAGAATCCCAACAGGCTGTATTTTTTTTTTTTGCTTCAGCAGTCAAAATAGATTCCATAGTTTATGACAGACTAGCAGAATTTATGGGATCATCAAATGAATTTTTAGCGCTTTCTTGGCCTTACTCTCCAATACAAAGCCCCTATCCAAATGCTTAACGTTTCATCCTGGGGAATTAACCAGACAAACATGATCTGAGGGGGTAGCCAAACATTTCATGACAGCACTGAATCCAAAAGCAGATCTTGGTTCAAATCCTCATTCCCCAGTGACTGCATTCTAGCAGGAGAAGAAGACATTCATAGTTTGCTGTGTGATGCAGAATGACTGATGAGTCAGAGGGAAGAGGGGAGGGGGGGGTCAGTATTTTGGTATTGATTATGAATACGCAGCCCTCCCAAACAGTCTGGACTTAATGCATGTGAGTAATCGAAATGCAGACAGCGAGCCACTGCCGCCTCACTCAAAGTGACATTTCCAAAGGCATGACTTGACATATGCAAAAGGGTCGTCATGATGGTGATTCTGACAGAGGAAGGACACGAATGAAAGCCATCTCCTAACTGCACATGTAAGAAGACCGCTGCGTGGCGAGACTCCCATGTCTGCCTACTTCGAGGCTAGATAGCAAGTTGGAGCTGAAATGCCCATTGTGAGTTTTTCTCACTCTGATTTGTAATGTGATTGAAGCACCTATCAAACAACAGCAAAGAGTGGTTATAAAAAACCCCTGCTGAGCTGCTCATCTCCAAGGTCTGTAGCGTTGCATCGAGAGATGAGGACAAAGTGCAAGTAGCTGAAGGCATGGTAGTCCTTGAGAGGCGAAGGGATCCTTTTTATTAACATTCATTAAGAATAAAGAGTGAATTACCCTGAACAGAAGAGGTCTGACACATAAAAGCCATTAGGGAAATGAATGCACACTGCACTAAAACACACATGCGTGCATGTACATACAAACACGGACGCACTTTTAGAGTCTTGCATACAAATGAGGAGCAGACCTTGGCAACAAGATGCTTCTAATCCTCCATACTGCTGGGCCTCCGTATAGTAGATAATATATTGCGGGGGGAGGACAATAGTGAGAAGAAACAGTGAGCACATGTCCACAGTTTGTACGTGTGTCCATTTGTGTGTGCTGTGGAGGGAGGCAGGGCCGAGCAGAGCGTTGCAGTGCAGTAGGACAGCGTTTCAGAGCTGTGGTAATTTCCCCCGAGGCGAGCGAGCAGGTAAAAGGCCAGCGAGGGAGGGATAGAAGGAGGCTGGAAACAGAGGGAGGGAGGGAGGGAGGCAGAGAGGCAGCGAGCGAGTGTGTCAGAGAATAATGAGGAATGATACAGCGGTGGCTGAAAACAAAAAAAAGAAAAAAGAGGCCGGCAGACACACTGCATTCACAGCATCCCAAGGTTGAACGCAGTCACTCTCATTGTCAACACATTAACATTCCTGTTTTCATTTCAGACCCCTTATCTTGTTAATGAGTGTTTTTTTAAACTGAGTCATTGTTTTTGTAATGAATTCATCTATTAATTACAGCTGCGCCTTTTTCCTGATGACCTTGCTTTATTTTGTTGCAAGCTGCAGACCTTAATATTAGCATACATTAAGCCCTGCTTATCTTTCATTCCCAAATGCTAATATGTCAAATTATCACCCGAAAAAAAAAAGGAAAAAAAGGAAAAACACAATAGTGGTTTGTATGTGTGTGTGTGTGTGTGTGTGTTTGTGGGTGAGCACCCACACTTATTAGCCCCCTTCCCCCTCCCCACTTGCAAACTCATTACCAGGGTATAAGACCTGCGTGGATTTTATGGTGTTTTGGGAACTGACTGGTTAATCAGATTTATTGCACACTTAAGCTTAATTGATTGCCTTTATGGATTCAAATGAATAATTAAGTGCTAACAAGCCTAGTTTCTGTTTCATCATTCTGAAATGATGATAATGACCCACAGATAGTGAAGGTAGTAGAAGTGTCAATCAAAAAACGCTAACATCACAGGAACCACCGTTCAGCCTCGGTCCTCTGCTTGCTACAGAAGCAGCTGCTTATAATAATGCCGCGCATGAATCCTTCTACTGGCCCATCGCTCAAAACAGTGATGCGCACACATTGTTTCACCTGAGCTTTGAACTCTAAAACCTAAAGATTCTTTTTTCTGTCCGTTTGCTCTTCATGGGCCCTCCGCTGTCATGTTTCTATTAGAAATGAAGCAGTATATGCTGTTGTATACCGGCTGTGAAAGGACAGACAGTGCATTAAGATCAAGGCGGTCCAAACAGAGACCACATATCCTGACCTTCAGATGCTCTTCACCAGATCAATACTATCATCAGCGCAGACGAGCAGTCACAGATTAGCCCGGCCTCTTTTAACAACCCCCCAACCCACACACACACACACACACACACTCGCTGTCTCTCTCCCTCTCACACACCTGATTCAGTAGAGGCCCTGGGTGTATTGATTGGTTTGTATTGACTGACACACAGAAGTACCACATGTACACTTACTTGTAGACTGTATTTTTCACTGGCTAGCTGGCTGGCATTGAACAGTGGGGAGGTATAGCGGGTTAAAGCTCTATATTTGGACCAAGGAAGTCCTATCTTGGCTGTATATATGGATCCTCCTCTGTATATAAATGGGATTTATTTTCAGCAATTGTTTTAAAAGAAGTTTCAAAATGAGTTACTTCTATACTTACATCCGACTCAAGGTCAAAACTGTGCAATGCTGTGAAAATAATGATTGCTTCTGCATTTACATGCGTGTTTGACATTAGAAAAAAGGGCACG